GAGGTCACCAGCCTGACAGGAAGCTGTGACCCGAGTCACCATGGGAACGAATCGAGCCACATCTCCCACAAGTCCGCGCGCCCCACGCTAAGCGAGGGCCCGCCGCGCCGCGGGACACTCCGTACTACAGCTCCCACAAGGCTTTGCGCGCGTCCCTAGGTTGAACCCCCAGCCCTGTTCATTTGAGTTCCGTGGGAAATGAAACCCAGACTACAACTGCTACAAGGATGAGGTGACCTTTTCCGCGTGCGCAAACTGACTGGGCGGGACAGGGTCACCGCGCATGCGCACGTGTCGCACAGCCACCCAAACTAACACAGGAAATTATTGCAGGCGCTTTCCGCTGGGGTGGGGGGTGGGCAGCCGCTGAGGATCAAGGTCGAGGCTGTGGTTAAAATCAAAGTGTTTATTTGCGTGTACAAAAGTTTCCAGTCGTAAAATGAATATTACAAATCATAGCAGGGAGGAAAAACAAAGGCGGAACACACTTTTGGCATGCATCTTAGAAAAGAAACGACCTGTAGAGCTAGCTGGGCGGTGCGCGCAGTGCAGGCTGCTCCCAAGCTGCAGCGCCGCCCCCGGAACCGCCTCGCCGGCCGGGGCACAACAGGAGCCCTTTGGGGCTGCCGGCTGCTCCAGCCCCATTCCTCAAACATAAGGAAGGCAGCTCCAGTGCCAGGTGCACGGGAGGTTACCTGCCCTGTGGGCAAGGCAGCAGAGCTGCGTGGAGACGACAGCCTGCCCCGACCATCCAGGAACCATCTGGAGACATGGTCCAGAATCCAACACCTATCACTTAAAGAAAACGGAGGTATCTAGAAGCATGAGGTGGCTGGTGGGTTCTGGGGGTTGGTGGCAGTAGTGGCGTTCTGTGGCTCTTGCCGTGGGGAGAGTAGGCCCAACTTACTCCTACCACCGGCTGTGCCAGGAGAGACAGCACCCCTCATGGCTCAGTAAAGGAAACTGAAGGTAGGGTGATCTCCATCCGTGGTAGCTCTGGGCCTGAACTCCCAGAGCAGCGTCTCAGAAAGCTGCATTACTGATGTAAAAAAATAAATATCCATTAAAAAAATACCGTGTGTCTGTGGTGAGGAGGTGAAGGTGACAGGTGTGAGCTGGCTGGCACCTGGAGCTCGTGGAACTATGTTCCACCACAGAAAGCATCCAGGTCAAGCCAGCAGGGCAGAACACAGAGGGGCCATGCAGTGTGTATGCACGGGGCCATGAGCACTGCTGGCTTTGCCACACTCCTGTGAGCAGCCACTGACTGGGAACCCACAGCTTTTGCTCCTGAAGCACCCACCGTCTGTTTGTCCTCTTCAGTCTACCAGAGTGACAATCTTAGGAAAGGAGGAATTGCCCCATGTGTGAGCATCCTCCTCCTTGGTCCTCAGCTTTAGAAGGGACTAGAATGTTCTGGAATCCAGGCCTCAGATACCCTGAGGCCAGGGTCAGTCACAGACCCTTCAGGCTCAGGGCACACAGCTGAGACCACCCCCCCCCCCTGGGTTCAGGTGCTTCCTCTGTGGTACCAACCTCAGGAATGGAGGGTCTGCCCTGTGTCTGAAGAGCCACCAAGCCCTGACAGGGTGGTGATCACCGCAGCCCTCTGGAACCTGGATTCTGAATTTGATTTGATTTAAAAATCTTCAAAGAAAGTAAACTAGGGAATCACTGTGGTCTCACACTAGGTCCACCCTGGGCCAGCCACCACGTTCCTGTTTCTCCCAGATTGGCCTTAGGCCCAAGTCCATCAGCCTTCAGGCTCCTGGCCCAGACTCCTGGGCCAGGCTCCTGGTGGGTGGCCAGGCAGACACCCACCTCTAGAAAACACAGAAGAGCCCACCCACATTCTCACTTAACAGTCTTATAGAAATGTATCAAGGACTAGTGAGAATGGACTATAAAAAATAATTTCAGGGCTTTGAGGACTTTGGTGACCATGGGGTCGGTTTCACATCAGCCGGCAACCCCTGGAGGTAGTCCTCGGGTCCCCCTGCAAGGAGTGAAGGATGCAGTTAGGCAGCCTGCTCCCAAGCAAGCCAATGGGTCCTGCAGACCATTTCCAAGCTCTCAATTTGTCCCCAGCCCACACTCAGGGCTGGCATCCCTGTCTCCCACCCCAGCTGAGAATGTGTCCTGGCTGAAGGGTCAGGCATGTGGCCACTGAAGTCTGTGGTGTCAACAGAACCCACATCCACACGAGGTGGTGGGTACAGTCCTCTGAGGCAGGACTATGGCACCCGGACCCCAAGTCCCACTAGGTGTGATGCCACACTCTCTACCTGCTGGTGGAAAAGGTCCTCCTCGCCGAATTCCGCCTCCGCCGCCTCCTCCTCTTCCTCCTCCTCCTCCTCCCCATTCTCGCTCACCTGGACGGATGTCTGTTTCACAGCCTGCACAGCCACCTCCTACACAACAAGGGTCACCCGTGTACTTTGTACCCTGATGCTGGTGGCTGCACCCACTAAGAAGCCACCCCAGGTTTCAGCTCAGTCACAGATGCCGTAGGGAAAGAGGGCACCAAGACCCTGATTTCACCCTGCTGTGAGATCTCACCTCTCCATCGGCGTTGACCAGAACAGTGCGGGAGCTCTCCCCACAGCCCCAGCTGCTCTGGCTTTTCCACACGAGGGTTGATGGGGGACTGTGGATGACCCCTGCGCCAGATGCCCACACCTGAGGACCCAAGATGGCCCTTGTCAGTCACTTCAGGGCCTGGGCCAGGCAATGACCCCAGGACATGGACACAGAAATACAAGTTCACAGTGGTCCAGAGTACTCAGCAAGAGAGCCACATTTGGACAGTAAGGCATCCTGTCCAAATGAGGGTGTGGCAGCGAGACAAAGCAACTCAGTGGCTATCGGCCCGGTCTCAGAACATGTGTTATCCACACTGGACCTCCTACCCTGGGAGTCAGTGTTGGGAACCTCCCAAGCCCCACACTCACTGGCACCTACCGTGACCGTCTGGCCGGCGCGCAAGACATACTTGGGCGTGAACTTATAGGCGATGTCCTCACCCTCCGGGACCTGTCTCTTGATCCTCCAGTTCCCCAAAGACTGGTCCTGAAACCCAGACATGTTCTGACCCCCAGCCGTGGGGACAGAAGCAAGGCCCCACCTGCTCAGCCCCTCGCTCACCTTGTCCGAGGCGTTCTTGAGGCGCACGAACCTGCCCTCCAGGTCCACCTCGTCAATGCTCACGACAGCCGGGACCGGGGCCTGCTGGGCCAGGCGGGAGCCGCTTCCCGTGCTGGAGCCTGAGCCACTGCTGCGCGAGCCTTGGGTCTCCTCCGTCTCCAGCCGCCGGCGCTTGCTGCGGCCCCGGCCCACTGACATGCCAACCCCACTGCTGCTGCTGCTTGAGGTGGCCCGAGAGATGGTGACACGGGAAGATGGGCTGGGGGACAGCTTCAGCCTACAGAGGGAGGTGTGAGGGTGGCGAGGTCAGGTAGGGCCTCGGGAGCCCCGTCCACCTACCACCCGACCTCTTTCTGGAGCCCCGCCCACCTCTCCTCCTCGCCCTCCAGCAGCTTGCGGTAGGCGCTGATCTCCATATCCAGGGCCAGCTTGATGTCCAGCAGCTCTTGGTACTCGGCCAGCTGCTGCTGCATGGCATCGCGCACCTCAGTCATCTCCTGCTCCTTGGCGTCCAGCATCTTGCGGAACTTGTCACGTTCCCCAGCCACGGCTTCCTCCAGTTCGCGAATGCGGTCCTCTGCAGCGCTGGCCTAGAGGGTGTGGCGGGGTCACAGTGTGTGGGACCCGGAGGGGCTGGGTTGGGAGGGGAGAACTGAAGTGACAGAGGCCCTCGGGGGCAGGGCTGGATCCTGTCACCTGCTTTTGGAGACCCGAGAGCTGGTAGCTGAGGGACTCCACGCGCATACGGGCTTCCTTGAGCTCCTCACGGGCTGCACTGGCCGCCTTGTCGTTCTGGTCCGAGCTCAGCTTGGCGTTGTCCAGCTGGGGGAGATGGGAGTGTGAACACGGGTGGCAGGGGATCGGGCTCCCCACCCCTGTCCTCACCAGCTGCACCTTGGCCTGGTAGGTCTGCTCCAGCTCCAGTCGGTACAGCCGCAGTTGCTCATCGTGCTGGCTGCGCAAGTCCCCCAGGGCCTGTGCCATCTTGAAGTCGTACTCCTGCTGCCGACTGCTGTCCACCTCCACCAAGCGCCGCTCATGCCTCCGCCGGGTCTCCCGCACCTCCTGTGAGGGGACGAGCCAACGACTTAGCTGTGCCAGGCTGCAACTCCAGGTGGCCTCCTGGCTACTTGTTCAACAATGATCAGCTGTGCGGATGCCCCAGCCATGATGAACAACAGCCTGGGCTATGCACGCACTGCACAGTCAGGAGCACGGAACACTCCGATACAGTCCACAGCATGGAGAGACCATCAAGAAACGAGATGCTGAGAGAGCCAGGCACAAAAGGCCATAGTGTGATTAACAGATCTCAGCACTACAGAGCCAAAGGCAAGACTGGCTGCAACCCCAAGGCCAGCCTGGGCTCATAGCCAGACCCTGTCTTAATTTTTTTTAAAGGGCTGGGATTTGGTGATGCACCACCTTTAGTCCCGGCATTCATGAGGCAGAGGCAACACTCAAGTCCAGGTAGGCTGGACTTGAACTCACAGAAATACATCTGCCTCTACCACCAGAGTGCTGGGACTAAAGGTATGCACCACCACCACCGCCCAGGTGGATCTTAGTTTTCCCACAAAATGGACTCTAGTACAGGGATCTAGGACACAGAGGCCTGCCACTGGCTTCTCAAGACAGAACACACACCTTTATGGTGCCCCAAACGGCTGTTTGAGAGGCGGCTCCTGGCTGCGCACCCCCCACCTGCTCCCTTGCAGGGACCCAGAGGTGGCTTTTCCAAGTCCTGGGAGTTCCTAGAGCTCCTTCTGAGGGTGGCTTCACAGGGTCCTCCACAGGGGTCTTCGAAAGCTCTCTCAGGCTTCGCTTCAGGAACTCCCTCAGGGGTCTTGGGCTGAGCTCGCTCACACATTCCTCCACAGGACTGGCTGCTATCGGCCAGACCCTCTTAGGTCCCTCCCCAGCTCCCCTCATGGATTCCGATTCTCCTTGGGACTCTCTCCAAGTCCCTTCCCAGAATCCAGTTCTCCTACGGGTTCAGGTGCCTCATAGCTATCTCTGTGGGTTCCTTCCTGAGGTCAGGGTGCCTCGTGGCTTCCCTCACAGGGCTCTACACTGAAGCTCTCATGGCTTCCTGGGATTGTGTGGCGCAGTGGCCCGTAATTGGCCCTGGCTAGAGATGCTTGTGGCTCCACAAGCACCCTCCTGTCCAAGCTATTCCTGAGCAGTGAAAACTGCCAAGGGCCTGGCCCAGTCCAACCCAGGAACATTGCCCTGGTTTATGATGACACAATGGGTTCTGTGATGGCTGAGTTCCCTGGGAGCCTGTGAGGCAGATCTTCATCGAGACCTATTACCCCCGCCATGCCCAGTACCCCAAAGAGCTAGAGGCTGAGAGGTTAAAGGGAAGACCTCAAGGTTGGCTAAATGAGGTCCCCAAAAACCAGGGCCACATCCCGATCCCCAGACCTGGGGTGGTGACCTTAAATAGACAAAGTTAAGGTTCTTTTACATTTATTTTATGTGTGTGCATTTGTGGGGGATGTTACTGTACTGAGACACAGCTGTGGAAGCTAAGGACAACTTGTGGGGTAGGTTTTCCCCACCATGTGGTACAGCTCAGGCTGTGAGTTTTGGAGACACATGCCTTTACCCACTGTGCCGTCTTGCTGACCCAATTTAGGCTGGATTTTTATGTGTTTAGTCTTTTTTTAAAATATTTATTTATTTATTATGTATACAGTATTTGCTTGCATATATCTCTGCAGGCCAGAGGAGGACATCAGCTCTCATTACAGATGGTTTTGAGCCACCATGTGGTTACTGGGAATTGAACTCAGGACCTCTGGAAGAGCAGGCAGTGAGTGCTCTTAACCTCTGAACCCATGTGTTTAGTCTTTAAAGACAAGTTTCTGCTGGGTGTTAGTAGCGCTCGCGTTTAATCACAGCACTCGGGAGGCAGAGGCAGGCGGATCTCTGTGAGTTCGAGGCCAGCCTGGTCTACAAAGCAAGTTCCAGAACAGCCTCCAAAGCCACAGAGAAACCCTATCTCGGAAAAAAAAAAAAAAAAAAAAAAAAAACAGCAACAACAAAAGGGACAGATTTCTCTGTGTAGCCCTGGCTGTCCTGGAACTCACCCCACAGACCAGGTGATCTTTAGACATCGCCTGCCTCTGCTTCAAACTCAGATGTCTGCTTGCCTCTGCCCACCCCCATGCTGGTATTAAAGGCACAAGCCACCATGCCCAGCTAAGATACACCTTTTGATATGATATTCTCAATGACTCAGATGGCCTGGAAACCCAGGGACCAGTGTGAAGAAACACTTGGGGGAGAAGGAGGCTGATGCCAAGTTGGAAGGCCTGAGTTCACCGACTGACTACATGGACCTTTCTTCCACCCCAGAGGAAACTAAGAAACACAGAAAAACGACAAAACAAAATGAAAGAGAGACTAAGAGCCTGCAGGGGACAGAAGCAGACATGAAACATTTGTTGATATCCTGGCTTCTCCCTCTCCCCGGGGCCTGGGCAACCTGGCCCTGTTCCTGCTCCTGACTCCTCTCCTCCTACCCCAGTGGTTTCTCCTCAGCACCCTCCCATCACTCCTGGGCCTGCGCCTTCTCCTTAAGGAACCTTTCCTGGTCGTGGGGCCTCTTTAATCCTCGGGTTCTCTCCCCACCCCGGGATCACTCTTCTCCAAGCTGTCTTCCCTCACCCTGGGATCTGTCTTTGACAGGTGACCACTCCTCACTGACAGCTGTCAAAGGTTGCATGGCTATGTCGTGTATGCACTAAATGACTACAAAAAGACTCTGCCTGCAGAGGCCACGCGGAGCTGGGCCAACGGCAGCTCCACAACTCCAGTTTCAACGGCCCCAATTGCTGAGCCTTGTTCTAAACCACTCTCTTTCCCTATATAAGCCAGTGCCTCTTGCCTGTTCTGTTTTCATTTCTGCTCAGTTAACATCTACCTAATTCCTTCGCTCCCTTTCCCAATAAACGCCATGTGGGTTTGTTGAGTTTGGTGGATTGTGTTTCATTGCCTGAAGAAGCTGCGGCAAAGAACAAAGATCCCAGGCTACTGGAGCAGTTGCCAGGAGGTAGCCTGTGGAAGGGGTGTCGACACTCACCTCCTCAAACACGCTCTTGCTGAAGCCCAGCTCCTCTTGCAGGCTCTGACAGCGGTTCTCCAGGTCCACTCGCATCAGTGTCTCCTTCTCCAGTTGTTTCTTGGCCACAGCGTGACCATCCTCTGCCTGGGAGATGCAGGGCAGTGAGCTGAGAGGATGGCTACCCAGCGTGGCTGCTACCTCGGCTTCTCCATGTCAACTGGGGAGCCCACAAACTGGCAGCTCCCAGACCCACCTTCGCCAGCTGGGCTCGTAGCTCTGCCACATCATTTTCCAGCCCATGCTTGTCACTGAGGGTTGAGGCCAGCTCTGCCTCGCTCCGGTGGAACAAGGATTCCAGGTCCTTCACTCGGCCCTGGGCCACCGTGAGCTCACCTTCCCGCTTTTTGGCACTGGAAGGAGGGGGAGTGGTCAGGAGGTCCAGGGAGACAAAGCACAACAACCACAGTCCCTGTCAACTACATCTTGACTGCCTGCCTTCCCAGTAACTGGGAGCTGAGGCAAGAGGGTGGCTTCAGCTTTGAGACCAGCCTGGTCTACAGAGTGAGACCCTGTCTCAAAAACAACAACACTAGCAAACTCAACCCAAGCCATCCAAAGCTCTGGACATCGTGGCCCACGTGATACCAGCTATATTTGTCATGGCTGAAGGTGCCCACATCCTGCCCAGTTACCTACAAAAGCCAGCTCTGGGCTAGAGAGATGGCTCAGAGGTTAACAGCACTGGCTGCTCTTCCAGAGGTCCTGAGTTCAATTCCCTGCAACCACATGGTGGCTCACAACCATCTACAATGAGATCTGGTGCCCTCTTCTGGTGTGTAGGAATATATGCAGGCTGAACACTGCATACATAATAAATACATTAAATAAATAAATAAACAAATCCTTAAAAAAAAGAGAGAGAGAAGAAAAGAAATCCAGCTCTGGGCGGGGACATCAGGTCAGCAGGACACACTGGCTGCAATTCACTAAAGTCACAAAGGAAAACCTGCCCTGGTGAAGCTATGAAGCAGGTGACCCTTCCTTCCATACAGTACAGTGAAGAGGGCAGAGGCGGGCATTCAAACAGGAAGGTGTTAGCAGAATGGATACCTCAGCTATATCAGGGTCAGCAGGTGACAAGTGGGTGTGTAGAGATGGGAGGCACCGGTGGCTAAACTGCCATGACTCTTGGGGACACCAGGCTGCTCCCTACTGTGCCTGCCCCAGCTTGGGTCAAGCAGCCCTGCTGCTCTGTCATCCTGAGTCTGGAGAGAACTATCTGGGATGGGGGGTGGGGGTGTAGAGTCATGCACTCAGAGAGCCCCCGCCAGGCAGCAAGGACCATGTGGCTGAAGAAGAGAAGTGGAGAGGAGGCAGGGCCACAGGCTGGCAGTGCAAAGGCCCTGGGGTGAGGCATGCCAGAGAGACCAGCAAAGAGGGATGAGTGGGACCCTGGGGATTTCCTAACAGATCTTAAAGGCCAAGGCTCCAGTGAATACTGTAGCCTTGGTTCCTATCTCCCAAGAGTGGCAGGGCACTGGGGCAGAGTCTTGGTGCAGTGTGATGACTCCCAGATCACCGTGTGGGAGCACTTGTCCTGCTTAGCAGGTCCACGAGGATACCCGAGGGCATCGGGATTCCCTGCGCCAGAAGGTGATTCTTCAGGAATTGGGGAAAGCCAGCCTCACTATTTGATGCTGTGAACCAAAGGTCAAGGCTATCCTTGGCTACATAGAGAGCTTAAGGCCAGCCTGAGCTAGAGAGCCTGGAAATCAGCCTGGGATACACAAGACCATCACAAATAAATAAATAAATAAATAAACGAATAAGTAGTTTTTTAAAAGCCAAGATACAATCTGTAAACCTATCTTGTGTGGGGGGGTGGTCTGTGGACAGAGCCACCCAGGCAGGAATCTCTGCTGAGCTAGCTCCAGCCTACACTAGATGTGCTGAGGTGGCTAGCATAGAGGCGCTGATGTGGCCTGGTGTCTGTGGACACCCTCAGGCACCAACATACCAGCTTATTAAGCCAGCTGCAGGCACTGGGGTGGACAGCCTGGTGGCCAGCTCGGGTGCTAACACCAAAGAACCAGGTGAGTCACCTCACAGAGGCCAGGCCTGTGTTCCCTGGTTTGGGGCTACCATGAGTGAAATGGCCCCTGGAGTCCTGACAGGGGCAGAATAGATCCGGAAGGGGACCCTTCTGAGACAGGCAGGTCCCAGGACAGTAGGTCCTACCAGCAGCAGGTATCTTCGTGGAGCCAGTCGTGGGCTGGGAGGGGAGGCCTACAGGGGACCCTCTCACCCAAACCTGCTCTGAGGACTGTGATGTCTCCAGCAGAGGTAGGACCTAAACTCTACACTTAGCACAAGCCAAGGCTGGTGTATAGTCAGTCACTCTGCCATGCCAACATTCTCATGCCACCATCCTGCAGCCCCCAGCACACAGTGTCCAGAGCCGGTAAGGCACAGGGAGATGGTGAGGGACACACTTGAGACCCCAAAGCACAGTCATGCAGGCTAAGGAGAGCAGTGAGGAATCTTGGGCCGGCTGTCCCTGGGGAAGCATGTCTGTGAAGGCACGCAACCCCAGAGGGATCTCACTGCTGTCCCTCAGTGCTCATGGCCTCAACAAGCGTGTGTATGTGAGAGGCCATTTGCAGCAGCTCTAGGCTGGTGGACTCTGGACTCCATTTCAACCCCACAGTCATCCTGCCCCCAGCCTCTGGGGGCTGTGTACCCAAGGGACTAGCACCAGCCACAGTCACTGACCTTTCTGGTTAAATCTGATATATGTTCTCATGTTTACATGTGTGTGTATGTACAGATCTGAATTCAATGTTGCTGGTCCTTCCTCAATTGCTCTCCATATTCCTGGTGGAGGCAGGTCTTTCTCACTGAACCCCGGCTTGCACTGTGGCTAGTCTAGCTTGTCAGCTCACCCTGAGGAGAGTCTACCCATCTCCCCAGTGCTGGCATCATCAGTGGGTTGTGGGGATCTGAACTCATCCTCACTCCTGTGGGGCGAGCACTCCACCCACCAAGCGTGTCCTCAGCCCAACTACCTACCTCTTCCTGGCCTCATCCAGCTCAGCCTGCAGCTTCCCCATTTCAATCTGCAGCCGGGCACGCTCCCGGGCCGTCTCATCCAGCACCCGCCGGGCATCAGCCAGCTCCGACTCGTACAAGGCCTTGATGCCACTCACCTGGGGACACAGACAGAACTGCCCTTTGTCAACCCTATGTCACCATCTTACATATTTAGAAGTGTCTGGGTTGTCTTTCTGGAAGAAGCCATCTTCCCTTCTCCATAAGCTTAGCCTGTCAGGAGGCAAGGACAGGTCTTGGGTAGGAACGTCTAGCCAAGGCTAGTCCACTTGGCACCATCAGCTGGGGGCCAGATGATTCTCTGCTGCAGGGTATCCCTGCCCTCACCAGAGTCAGCACAGTTCTGAGATGACAGGTGCCCAGTGCCAGGCAAGCACTCTCCCCACTGAGCCCAATGCCACAGCTGCCACCTCTTCAGTGTTGATCGTTCACATGCACGAATGCCTGAGCCCACAGGGAGCCTTCCCTGGGGCTCTGCAGGGTCACACTCCTGTCCGTATTATGGCAATTTGGGGGTCCCTGAATCTGCCTCAATCCAACATCAGACCTTCTGTTTCTGCATCCCACCCCATGAGGATGAAGGGTGGGAGATCTAGGGCCCTCCAGCTGTCCCCGGGACGCCTGGATGAGAACAGACTCACTGAACTGCATGTGGGCTCACATTCAAAGAGCACCCCACACACAGGGACCACCCCCTCATCCCCAGGGGTCATCCCCCACACCCGTCCTGTAGCAAAGAGATTTGGGGTACACTCAAATGCACGTGTGCTTTTGGCCTCTCCACTGACCCTACTGGGAAGACAGTTGCCACATGCCACCCAGCCCTAGCCAAGCCACACACCAACTGGGCTCAAGACTCAGATTTCCCCTGGCCCTACTCTCTACCAGTGTGCGGCTGGCTATGAGCTTAATGTGTTCAAAGACACATAAGTGGGGAGACTGCAGGAGGCAACACTTCACACCCCAGGACATCAGAGGGACAGGCAGGCGTGGGGGAGGGGGCTCCTGTAATCCCAGTACCACAGGTCCTCCCAAGGTAGCCATGGCCACTCACTGCCTGAGTCAGCACACTTCACAGAAAGAGCGAAAACACCCACCTGGAAATCCATACAACAGGCACAGTGCCATAGCCCCAACACTGAGGGGGCAGGCACAGCAGAGTCCACGGGCAAAGGAAGGACATATGCTATCAACTGTCCATTTGTTGGAGTATCACCCAACCCTGAACAGGAGCATGGCTCCAATGTGACAGTGGATACAAAGGCCACACAGTGTGGGCTCCAAGACAGGAAATGTCCAGAAGAGGGGGATTCAGAGAGGGAAGTAGACCCATAGGTCTTGAGGGCTGGGAGGATGGGGCGGTGGCTTACGGGAACGGGGCTTCCTTGTGGGTGACAGAATGTTCTAGAATTGAACAAGGGAAAAGCTACACAGACATAATGTTTGACTTTGAGGTTTCACAAGCCCAATATCCACTGGGGCTCAGGTACCTGGTGTTTGTGATCACAGAGACTGGCCATCCAGCACCGTTGTGGCAGGCTCAGCTGAGGCTCCTGGAGGTAGGACTCGGGGCTCAGAGTACAATGTGACCATGTGTGCATGTGTGTATGCGTGCATGCATGCATGCATGAGTGAGAGAGAGAGACAGAGAGACAGAAACAGACAGATAGACAGACAGAGAGAGAGATCCTATGACAGTCCCTGCCCTAGGCCTCCAGCTGTGACCGGGCTAGGACTCCCCTGGGAGTGGGTAGGGCTCTTATCCCCACTTTACAGACAAGGAAACTGAGGCCTTGGACAGGAAAAAGCTTCCTGCACAATGGTCTGCCACAGGGATGGTGGGAGAGGTAATAAAACACACCTCTCCTGGGCTGTGCCCGTCACCTCCCCTCGCCCCAGAAGGAACAGGCAGGGCCTGGCATGGAGAGTGCCCTTCAAGGACACAGGTTGAGATATGACCCTGCTGCACCCCACACCTCTCACTGCAGGCTCCAAATCAACCTCAGGCCAAAACCAAGACTTCTAGCCCGGATAACCCTTCCATCTTCACAAGTTAGTGCGCTCGGCATTTTCTCATAGTGACAGAGGCATCATGAACAACACACACACACACACACACACACACACACACACACATACATATATGCGCGCGCGTACACACACACATATGCACAGACATACAGACACTCACACATATGCACACAGACATACACACATATGCACACAGACATAGACACAGACACACACACATGCACACAGACACACACTTACATATGCACAGACACACACACACAGACACTCACATATGCACACAGAAACACAGATACACAGAAAGACACACACACATAGACAAACATATAAACACAGATACAGACAGACAGACTCAGACACACAGACACACACATGCACGCGCCCCTAAACCCCACCTGCTACCAGGTCACGTCTTACAGGGTGCACACTTGTCAGGGCTCAGGGCAACAGCTCCTAAGGAAAACAGCACTGGAAGTGACCACTGGACTGCCATACATGTCAAAAGGAGAAATGGGTGTGGTGACAGTGACACTTGTCAGTCTCACTGTGTAGTCCTGGCTGTCCTGGAACTAACTCTGTAGACCAGGCTGGCCTAGAGCTCACAGAGACCACCTGCCTCTGCCTCCTGAGTGCTGGGATGAAAGGCAGTTTCTATATTTTTAAGTATCTGGAACAGGGCTGGGGAGTCTGTGGCCAAAATAGGCAGCACTCACCAATAATGCATGTCCTCCCTCAGGCTTTATTGGCACATGGTTTCAAAGGGATGTCATCTCAGGTGGATATGGCCTCAACACTGCCACACTGCTTGGTCACAGAGGCCACATGGTGGCCTGCAGAGCCAAAAAAAACTGGGCCCCCTGTGGGGATGCTGGCAGGCCCCGTGAGCCCCACCCAGGAGGGATGAGTGGAGCCCGGCAGGGGATTCTGAAGCACTGCTGTGCGCATAGGATCAGACGGACTGAGATGGTCTTTGCCAGGGTCACAGGTATGCTCGGTATCCTTGACTGGGGAGCTTTGCCCCTCCTGGGCTCCCTGTCCCCTAGCATACTAGTCCAGCAACAGACACCTGGCAGAAAGGTGAGGTCGAGTTTCTTTGTGGGGAACTTTATACCCCAGCCTCCTTGTCATGCCCAAACACCTTCAACCTTTCTCCAATCACCACCTCCCTGGACAGCCACCTCAGTCTCCCCCAACCAACCCACCACAAACTCCAAATGTCTGAGTCACTATCTGATGCCCCGATGCCATTTTAGCCCCAGTTCTGGATAACACTGAATGAAAAGCGAGAGCCTGCATGGCTGGAGTGGGGCAGGAAGGCAAGGTAACCTCATGTACCCAGGTGGCAGTGACTACCAGCCTTCAATGGCCCCTTCAAAGTCTTACTTATACGCTGTCATTCCCCATATCTCAGCTGCAACGGGATGGCAAATGACCTGCACCTAATAACTTCTTGAGGCAGGCCCGGCCCCACCAGGAAAATCCCAACCACAACTGTCCCTATACCTTGCCAAGCTGCCCGGAAGGCAACCCCAACAGCTGGAGCATGTGCCGCCTGTGTGGTGTCCTTTGTGGTCCCCCTGGCCACCCTACCAGCTGTCCTCAGGCATCTTAGAGCCTGAAACTAGAAAGGCTGGCTCCCAGAAGAGCAATGTGCCTGCCACCTGCTGCCAGCCACCCTGGCTCACACTTAAGCCCCAAATCAGCCATGTGTTCCGACCATGCTTGCAAAACTGAAAAACAAAAGTGGCTAACACTTCTGACACCCACATGGACAGGTGGCGTCCATTAGGCCTGGCATCACACATGTTTGAAGAGCCCAGAAGCTCAACTGTCTGTGTGACAAAAGGGATCCAAAGGCAACAATAAAACAGCCAGAGCAGGGGAGAGGGCTCAGTGAGCAGTGTGTCTACCACACAAGCCTGAGGGAGGACATGCATTCCCATCCAAAAAGTCTGCCAGCACTGCAGTGGCAGAGAAAGGAGGTGGGTGCAGCTTGCTGGATGGCTAGCCGGGCTGAACCAGCAAGCTATAGGCCAGTGAACTGGACTAAAAAAAAAAAAGTGAGGGGGGAGGGACATCGAGTTGGGAATAGTTGTCACTCAGGAGGCAGAGGCAGATGGATCTCTGTGAATTCCAGGTCAGCTTGGTCTACAGAGTGTGTTCCAGGACAGCCACGCTATTTAGAGAAACCCTATATATAAAGAAATAAATTAAATCTTTAAAAACAAAAAGAACAACTGATGGAGACACCCAAAGTTGACCTCTGGTCTACACACACACACACACACACACACACACACACACACACACACACACACCAACCACCCTGATCTGGGAATGCGAGTGCTGCCCAGGCAGGTGACCCTACGAGGGGTGGGTGATGATGCTGTCCCAGGGCATAGATTGCAAAACCGTGGCTCCAAGAGGCTGAGCTTCCTATAGAAGGCCACACAGAAAGGCAAGAGTCTGGGGGATTCTAGGTGGTCTCCACCATGACCACACCCGCTAGTCCCTTACTGGGGGATTCTAGGTGGGGCTCCATCCTGACCTCATCCCTCAGCCCCTTAAGAGTCACTAGTAGGGGCTGGAGAGATGGCTCAGTGGTTAAGAGCACTGGCTGCTCTCCCAGAGGATGAGGGTTCGATTCCCAGCACCCACCTGGTGACTAACAACCATCTGTAACTCCAGTTCCAAGAGATCTGACAACTTCACACTAATGCACATAAAATAAATAAGTTAAATAAATAAAAAACCAGCCTGGTCTACAAGAGCTAGTTCCAGGACAGTCTCCAAAGCCACAGAGAAACTCTGTCTCGAAAAACCAAAAATAAATAAATAAATAAATACATTAAAAAAAAAGGAGCCACTAGTAGTTCATATCTGAGGCCAGGGTCCTCCCCCTATGTCCAAAGGCCAAGCAGGAGTCCTGATGACACACCCTCCTGTCTCTTGGGTGGGTAAAGTCCTGGGCCCACACAACAAGCCCTATACCTTCACGGTCCCTAGAGTTGGAGCCTGCCTGGCAAGCAGCACCCTAGCACCCTGTTTCCAGGTAGCCTATTAACTCCTAACACATGAGAATGTCTTCTCAGACATTCACTCACCACGGACCTTGGTGGGACACAGTGATTCCTGTCCCACACCAGTTTTAGCCCTGACCACCTAGGGCCCATCCAAAGTTCTGAGAACAGAGATCCCATGATTTGTCTGAGAGACCAGAGACCATTCCCATACCCCTCCGCAAGGTGGGATTCCCTTTAATTGCTGGGGGCAACACCCCCACCTCCCACCTCCACCCTGGCTCATGCCAACAGTTCCCATACTGCCCTACATAGTGACTTCAAATCCCGCAGTGAGCCCTGAGTGGGTGGGTGGCTCACTCCACGCCATTCATTCCTAGACTGTTCTCTTGGTACCCTTCATCAGGGCGTCCCAAGCTATCCTTGAACCATGCAGTAGGTTGAGCCTAGCCAGCCCCAACCCTGTCCATTGGTAACCCCTAACAACAGCTCTCACTCAAACCCTAGAACCTGAGGGTCCCCAGGACAGCCCCCAAAACATGCACTCCTCACTTGGTATCCTAGAACTGCCCCTAACGCACCCTCACCCAGTGGGTACCCAAAAGTACCTCTGAAGGATGGCCCTTGATCAACACCTTTTTTCAGGGTCCCTTGTCAAAATTCCCTCCAGGATCTCTAGGATTAAAGACTCAGTTTGCACCCCTCTTCAGGGGGTCCCCAAATCTCACAACCTTGCCTAGGGTGGAGTTGTCCCTCAGGGGTTCCCAGAATAGTCTATAGCTCACCCCTTACTGGGGGGTCCTCGAAACCTGCGAACAGCCCCCACAGGTTGGCGTTTGCCAGGCTCCTTGTCTGTCCCTCAGGCATCTTCAAAGCCCAAAGGTCCCCAGGACAGCCTCCAGGCAGCACTGACTTAGAGTCCCCAAGGATCTCAGTTTCTGGATATACGTCTGGGGAGTCATAGGAATCCTTTAAACCTATGACCAAGTGTGCAGGGCCTTCCTACCTATTCATGAATGTGAAGGGTCCCCAAGGTCCTTGAGAACACCCCTTATTGGGTGTCTTAGCTCAGTCTACACTGGTCCTTCAGGGTCCCCTGGTAAGCATGGGTTAGCTCCATCAGCACCTGTCCCAAGAGTCCAGGGTGGGTGGAGCTTTGGTGGGCGGAGTCTAACTTTGTTTACACCTGTCCCTGATATCCTCAGGTGGGATGGGCTTGGGCCCAACAGCACCAGTCCCCCATTCCCTATTCCCCACCCCAGTGGTCAATGCTATGATGTTTGCACTTGTTGCTGTTTCCTGGTGGGCGGATCTTAGAGGTCTGCACCAGTTCCGGGGAGGCGGCCGGTGGGTGGGGCTTAGTGGTTTGCACCTGTGGGGGAGGTGTCAACTCCCCCGTGGGCGGAGCTCCGCGCGCTCTAATTGTTCCTGGGGTCTCCTGATGGGCAGGGCTTAGCCCTATGCACCCCGATTCTGGGCTGCCTGGTAAGCAGAGCTTATTTGTCACCCTCTGCCCCAGGGGGGGTCTGCATTGGGCAGGGCTCAGCTCTCTGTCCCTGTCCCTGGGGTCCCCGGTGGGCAGGGCTCAGCCCTATGCACCGGTCCCTGGGGTTCCCGGTGGGCAGAGCTCAGCTGTCTGCACCCGTCCACAGGGTCCTCACTGCGCACAGCTCGGCTCATTGCACCTGTCACTGGAGTCTTGTCTGTCGGCTCCCCGCATCTCCGGTGCCGACCTACGTACCTCGCGCGTGGTCACCTCCTCCTTCTCGGAGATACGGAGCAGCAGCCGATCATTTTCCAGCTCGAGAGCGCGGACGCGGTCGATGTAGTGCGCCAGGCGGTCGTTGAGCTCGCGCAGCTCCTCCTTCTCCTGCAGCCGAGACAGGCGCGCGGGCGAAAGCGGCGTGGCGGGCCCTGCGCGGGGAGGCAGGGACGCCATG